ATAAAAGATAATTAATATGAATTAAAAATAATAAAAGAAAAAGAAAAAGAATGAATAAAAATAAAAGTAATTAAAAATAATCTGTATTTAAATTAATAATATGATCTACATTTCACATCTAATCTAATTAGCACAACATTAAGAAGTATTAAATGTAGATATGTGTTAATTTCTAATATGTTATGCAAGAAATGATAAATATAATACAAAAAAGGATAAACATGATACAAGAAATTACAAGGATATGTGAAAATTGTTACATATATCTTGGTTTAAATTCAGTTTTAAGAATATCTTTATTTACAATGCGAATTTGGTGATATCCTGAATATAATCAAGTTTTGTAAAATATTTTGATCTAACTAATCTATTTATAAGTTTATTTACATGAAGTAATAGATATCTATTTTTGATAGTGATTTTGTTGAGAGCTCTATAATTAATATATAGTCTTAAAGTTCTTTCTTTCTTATAAACAAATAAAACTGATACTTCAAATAGTAATATACTTGAATAATATTATATTTCAGAATATTTATATAACTCTTAATATCTATCATATTACTAATATTAATTATCATTAACTGTTACTAAACATTATTAACCAATATTGATCAATATTATTCAACATTGTTCAAAATTAACTCTTATTTAACTTAATTAAATCAATATCAAATAGTAATTATTTAATACTATTCATATTAATTTATTTCTTCTTTCTTAATTATTATTTATATAACTATCTAGAAAAAAATTCTGTATCAAAATATGTATATAAAGAGCTGTTCTCACTCTCAAAAATAAAGCATTAATTGATCAAGATACAGCTAGTAAAATAACTTGTTCTATATAGTTATTGTATCAAATTAATAATACTTAAAAATCTATCTTATCACTTTAAATAATATTACTTGCATATAATTATCTTTGATTATTTGATTTATTGAATTAATTGTATTTATATTGTTAAGAATATAAAACACACTTAAAAAGCTGGCACTGAGCCATAATCATAATACACAATTTAATTTTGCGATTTAATTTACTTGCACTTTATTTTTGCAGTTTAGTATATTTTGTTATTTATTTTATTAAAAAAAGAAAATCGAATTCGTTGTTATACGTATATTTCACGTGATATTAGCGTATGTGAAAATGCACGTGATTTGATACGTGCCCGTAGACCAGCTGCCCCCTAATTGATTAAAATCATGTGAGAAGCAATAATACTACGTACTGTTTTAACGATTTTTATCACATGATTTTGATTAATTAGCGTTACTGTAGTGACATTAAATTCTTCAATTCCGTAATTTTACTCTAATTTCCCCATCGTTCTTCAATATTAATGCTCATAACGATAATGATTACGTATCAAGAAAACGACAATTATCTAGACAATTGAAAGACATCAAACGATTATTGCTTGATTACTTTCAAGAGAAACAATAAAAAGACTAACCCTAGAATTAGCGTAGTAATCGAAACTATATATGCCGTATATTAAGCATTCCCCGAAAATAAGCACCACTGGCCCGCATTATGACGATTTTGGCCAGAATCATGAAGACCTTGGCCAGCGTTATTTGCAAAAAAGGGTGCTTAATTTCGTAAGTATACAGTAATTACTTTTAGGTCTCTGAGAAGACATGCTTTGATCGAATAAACTAACAAAGTTCTTACTTGTAGTAATAATACACTATTATTTTCTTTAGTTTTGTGATCAAACTTCAAAACTTGCGAGTCGTCACAAGAGTAATTTTATTATATTTTAAGAAACGTCCTTATTAATAAAAAGTCGATTTGCGTACAAGTCGCCACGGGAAACCCTTAGAACGCCCAAAGAAATCCTTTGATCGTAAATAATTTAGTCTAGTTCTCATCCCTGTTGCGAGAAACCCCTCTTTAACGAATTAATATAATTGACGCAACAATACCTCAATAAATCGTGATACTAATGCCAAAAGCAACTACGTATATTGATCCAAATTTGAATGATAAAACAACGGAAAATACATGTAATGAAACGGATACAGAATCTCAGTCTGATGACAATACTTCAATTGCCTCTATACTGTTAGTATTTCAAAGATAATTTCAACTAATCAAAGTACAACTTCAACTATTCCAACGAAAAAGGAAAAAGGAAAAATCAACATGCAATGAAAAACAAAACCATGTCATCACCGTCGTCGTTATTGCTGTAATCATCATCGTCGTAATTTGTGCTCGAGAGTCGATTTTGGGTTGAGAATCGATAAAATCGATTAATCGAATAAGAATCGATCACCTAGTTCCAAGAGTATGATTTAAGAAAAATATTACTATATAGCACTATAAAATTTATTTTAAAAATGTGTTACTATAACGAGCTCCAAGTTTTTTTTGCAAAATAAGGTTTGAGATTACGGCGAAAATATAATTAAATGACGTGATAAATATAAATGTAACGTAACGGTAAATTGTGTTAAAATCATTACGTGATTCAAAGCAAATTGCTCTAAGTGCTGTTATCGTTATTATCAACTAATTGTTCTCTTATGATATTTCTGATGATATTCACGAGCGTTAACTTATCGCTATGCAAAAGTTGGTGATCTACGTAAATAGAGGAGTCGTTGAAAAACTTGATTGAATATAAAAAAGTTAAAGCATTAAACCAGAATACAGCATCACAGCCATGTATCTTTCTTCCAAAAAAACAAATTAACCTGGTTGTGACAATTTTCTTGGATTTGCGGATTACTGGCCACCCAATTTCGCTTGTTTAGTAATCGTTATCGCATCTTTGTAAATTGGCTTTCTCATTGAATTGATTTCAATTGTAGAATAAACACACAAACAAACAAGCAAAAAGAACAAAAAGCACATGTAAATAATAAAGAGCCAAAAAGTGTCATTAATGTTAAGCGAACATCATCAAACTTTAACTTAAATTTTTCCTTTCATTTATTATTACATTTTTCTTTGGGAAGACGAACCAAAAAATGGTGCGAATTTCCTGTTTCAAGTATTCTGGATTATAACCAGACAAAAATATTAGGACAAACAATTGGAAAACAAGTTTCAAAACAAGAGTGTAATGAGAAAAGATCGATATCGATATAGGTTACCTTGAAAAAGAATAAACGAAACACTGGTTTTTTGGGTGTAGCATTCGTATTTGCCCGATTTGTATATTTGTTTATTATACCAAATTGGCAATGGAATGTTTTTTACAATTTCGCTCTCGAAATACAGTTAACTCGTTATGGAGACAAAATATCCGCAATTTCACTTCTGGATCACCATTTTGTATCGCCAAATACATGTACTAAACGATCACTTGTATGACAATACGGATGCGATGCACGTTGATCTTTCAACAAGTAGCTTATCTTCCAGACTTCAACCCTATTAAAATTTTGGGCTGTTTTGAAGAGTATAGTGGTGCATAAATTAATTTCTCAGGATGTATTTTTGGACCTAATTAGGGAGGAGAATGTAGTACCCTGAGTCGGATCATGTATGTCCCGAAAAATTCTACGGTAATAAAGGTTATTGTTAAAGGTTAATTTAAAGATTAGGCTTAGGGTTAGGGTTAGGTTAGCGCTAGAGCTGGAGCCAGGATTATAGGTAAAATTGCTTTCCAGACATTTTTTGGTGTACCAAGCTAGAATTAGGCATCTGTTTCCCGTATTTTTTACATTTTTTGCTTTTCTCATTTTCTTGTGTCGGATTTGTTTTGCCGGGTGATCAAAAATTTGCGCATTCTTATTGCTTATTTTCGGAAAATTCTATTGTAATACATATTATCGTTATTGTTAGAGAATGGTTTTAAGAGTAGGGTTACGGTTACGGTTAGGGATGGTGATCAGAGTTATATATAAAATTGTCTTCCCGACATTTTTTTGTTAGTGCTCCAGACCAGATTTTGGCATTTGTTTCATTTTTTATTTTTTATGTCGGTTTGTTTGCCGTGTTGATCAAAAATTTATGCATTCTTATTGGTTGTTTTTTATCATAACCAAATCGGGTGGGGGTTACATTAATAAAGTTTATCGTTATTGGCGTGATGTTTTATACCATTTTCTTTGTTTGTTATTGTCTTAATTTTGAAATTAATGAAAATAGCCATCTAATCAATCAATACTCATTCTGGATTTGAACCATAAAACTTATTGTTATCCTGAAACAGGTCAAATCCAGAATGGGTCCGATTAAATCGATATCTATTCCCACAGCAATAAGAGGACACTGCCCATGATTATCATCATTTTTGGAGCGGTATCTCTACCTGGAACAAAAGAATTACCACCGACAGGAATATACAATGCGAGTTCACGTAGACTGCAGATTCTTTGTTGTTAAATGACACGCAATCATGAGAACAGATAAACTTTTCTATCATACACGTAAATGGAAATTTTATAAAGAATGAAATTTTCATCAAACATGCAAACTTATCGTTATGTCGCAAAATTGTAACTAATATCTTTAATCCACCTTCTAGCATACGCCAGACCAGATTTTTTAAAACCACCAAAACATTCTCAATGATTGGAGCTATCTTCAACATCTGTTTTGTAAAAAAATTAATAACGAAAATAGCCATCACATCTTCGTTTGGAACATACAAACCGGCACTTATAGGACCTAAATATTCCAAATAAGTTTTAATTATCGCGCGAAATCTGATGTATTTGACCCGTTTCGGGATAAAGTCATATGAAACATCCACACTGATTTCTAAACAATATCCGAAACGGGTCAAATTCACTGATTGATATCTAAATTCTCAGATTTCCCACACCTTTTTTTAAGGAAATCAAGTTAACCATGTGTTTGCGTGAAGTTATCGCAAAGGTGTAGTCGTGCGAATTGAGTGTGGGGATTTGCGATATGTAGAAAAAAGAAATTACCACCGACAATGCGAGTTCACGTAGCAGTAGGTGCATGACATGTCATGAGAACAGGTAGGGAAAAGGGCACTGGATGAATTTGGTAAGATCAATGGAAATAAGGCGGGAAGGTCAACAAAATAAAATTCCACAACTCTGATTGGCCTGAGGAGAATAAAAGTCACTAATCCATAGAACTTACTTAAATACTGGCTCAACAACCATGAACTGGCTGGTGATAAGTCAACAACTCTGTCCGTAAACATTATCACACTTCAGTCTCTCGTAGGTCGTAAGAATTCTACCGTAATACGCGGTCGCATTTCTACTTCCCAAGGATCAGCAATGGAACCATCGCCGAACAAAGAATTAAACATATTGTTGCTCGGCGAAACCGGTGTAGGGAAATCTACATTTATAAACGCCCTCGTGAACTATCTTAAATTCGATACGTTAGATGACGCACAATCCGGGGACTTGGAGGTACTGATCTCATCTAAATTCACAACAATGGATGAGGAATACGAGATGAGAACGGTAAAAATTGGCAATGATGATTCAAACGAGCAATTAGAAAGGCCCGGAATGTCGGCCACTCAAGGATGCAAAAGCTATAGATTTCTTTTGGGCGACATGCTCGTAAGATTGATCGATACGCCGGGAATAGGGGACACCAGAGGAATCGACCAAGACAAGGAAAATTTCGAAAACATTCTCAAGTATATTAGCAATTTTGAGAACCTGCATGGGATTTGTATCCTTCTCAAGCCCAATAATTCGCGACTGACTGTAATATTTAGATTTTGTATACAAGAGTTATTATCACACTTACACAAGAATGCCAAAGACAATATTGTCTTCTGTTTTACCAATTCCAGAGGAACACTCTATCGTCCAGGCGATACATTACCGGCACTCAAAGAACAACTTCGCGCGCTCAGACAAAGATCTGGTGTTGAAATAAAAACAAACCAAAATACTATGTACTGTTTTGACAGCGAATCGTTTCGGTTCCTAGCGGCAGTCAAAGCGGGCATAAAGTTTGAAGAAATGGATGAACAAAGTTTCGCAGAGAGCTGGAAAAGATCAGTGGGTGAATCAGTGAGACTCCTCGGTTATCTCTGTTTACGTGACCCTCACAAAGTAAAGGACACATTGACACTAAATGATGCCAGAAGAATAGTAATAAATCTTGCCAAACCTCTTGCAGAAGCGGAACGACTTATTAAAACGAACATTGCTCTGATCGACGAGCGACAAAAAGAGATTGATAGCTGCAACGAATCCATTCAAGATCTTAATAGGCGGCTGTTCATCCCACAGAAAGACCTTCATTCAGTACAGCTAGGATATCCCAGAACTGTGTGCACCGCATGTCGTAAGGAAGTGGTGAACGGAAAAATAAACTACAATGCGCAGTGTCATCCACACTGTTATTTAAGCGGGGTTGCGTGCAATGTGATTAACAATTCAGCCTTGCAGAGCTGTGCAGCTATGGGATCAAATGGATCTTGTAATAATTGTGGCTGCTCCTGGGCAACACACATGCACGTGACCTGGGAAGCCACCTTCGTAACTAAAAACGTCGTTGACGAGAGTGTGAAAGCACAGATCAATGACAAGAAAACGTTTCAAGATACAAAGGCAAACGCCATTAAACTTTGTCAACGGAGACGCCAGCAGCTAGAACAAGAACAAAAGAAAATAACCGAAATTAATATCACATTCGCAAAGTTTCTAAGGCAAAGCGCAATAGCCACTTTCAATGACGCATATGCAGAATACCTGGATCATTTCATAAAGGAAGAAAAAATGAAGAAGAGTGTTGATCCCGCTAATTATGACGATGGCGTTCTCCAAGGACTTGAAAAAACGAAAAAAGAATACCTGGCAAAGATAGAAGTTATAAAGAAAGCAATTGCGTGCAACGATCCTTCCGAGTCTCCAGTCTCGCCAGACGAGATAGCAAAGCTTGAAAAAGAATTGTATAATCTAAAACTTAACGGTGAAACCCTGAAAAATATGAAAGATGTAGCGATGCGCAGTCAAACCGCTGCATTCAAACACGAAGAAAAAAACATTAGGCTCTCTGGAAATGGTACTCAGAGGTCAAGATCAAGATTTTTCTCCAGATTTTTCCAGTGAGCAAGACACATGCATGTGCACACTGCATGTCAAACGGTGGTTAAAGACTGTTGTCCATATCATACGCTATTTTCAACCATATATTTCTTTACTATTTACATATGTTAGTTATTTTAACAGGGCTTTTTCCCTAGATGCTAGGTTTTGGCAATTAAATTTCGATGTTTTCTCTTTTTGTATCATGTTTTAGTGTAAATAAATCTCGTAGTCTTTAAAACATGCGTATAATCTCTTCAAAAACAAGAAAGTCTAAAATTAAGCATTTTGGTTGGTTAAAAGATCTAATATAAAATTAAGGTATATATACAGTCAGAGCTGGTTACAGTAACATGATCGGGGGAAAGATTTTGATGTTATTATATCCAAATATTATTAATGTTACTTTATCCAATAATAATATAAAAAAATTTTTTGTACCAAGCAAATCATATTACTATAATCAGCATGTTATTATAAAAAATGTTACTGTAACCATCTCTGACTGTACTTTAGTCTCATCCCTAACTGTGAGACAAAGCTTATAATTCACGATGTTTGCACAAAATGAGGTTTTGAAAACTGGCAACAATTCCATATGACCTTATTGGTTTTAAAGCATAAATGTCACATGATAAACCGATCGCCCACCTTTCAACTAGGTTGCAATATTTCGATACTGGTAACATCGTTGCCCTCGCAAAGTCAGCTTCTTCAAACGGCGACATTTCCATTCAACTTTAATGTCAAAGTAAAAAACGATTTTGGGTTATGCATGTGCCATACATCACATGTGTTCCGACTCAATACAGTGAGAACTCGTTACAGTAACATTCTCTAAGATAACATCTCGTTATAATAACTCAAAACCTCTTCCCCGAGCTCATTACTGTAATAAGCTTTCATTGTATTTACTTTTCGATAGGGTAACATCTTCCCCCGATCATGTTACTGTAAAGAGCTCTCACTGTACATGTAACGGTAATACATGTACAATGAATTCGTACACCAGAATTAGTGGTCCAGTTTGAACTTTTGGTGATGTAGTCCGTGATTATTATTACGAGACAATTAACAATTACGTATCGTTTTCATTAGGGGAGTGACAAATATTAGCTAATTTCCATTTTATTATAGTGACCCCCCCCCCCCGAGATTTCATTTAACACATGTACGTGAAATTATATTAATACCTGAGATTTGGCCATCCCCAAGGATATTAGCTAATATTTGTCACTCCCCGTATTAGACTTCCCAGCGCGGATGCATAGCATATATCGATCCATGTAAATCGTAAATAATACATATCGATATATAAATCATAACCGCGATAGAAAAGTCGAATATCCTTAAATCATAACTATTAGAACCAGATTCGATTCCAAAAATCAATATCTGTTTGTATTGCATAGCATTTTGAGCTTTTTGTAATACATGCTAACCAAATCGACATAAAATAGTCAGCGAAATCGAAGTGAAATATTCGTGTAATCGTTGGCAAAATATTTGAGAAACTACGTTGATTTTTGAGCTCTAGTTTATTTGTTACCGAAGTGTAACAAATTTCTTTGATCCCGTGATTTCCGAAGGAGCCAGTTCGTGCCGATCCCAACAAGTCATTTCGATTATCCGAGCTCCTTAGTGTAATGTCCCATCCTTCCTATTTTAAATCGACTCCT